CCAGCCAGCATAGCTGGCTGGGGAATTCTGGGAGTTGAAGTCCACACATATCTTAAAGTTGACAAGGTTGAGAAACACTGGTATAAGGGATAATCACACAGCTGTTCCATTCTTCACTCTAATTCCTCTGTTACTACCCCTTAATCAAATTACAGGTTAATAAGGTTCACACAATGCTTTATTTAAGTCACAGTTTACTGAAATGATTACTCACCTTATTAAATAAACTACAATTGACTGGGTTCATGCAACTCACTAAACCAAAACCAATCCAACCTCATTTTGTACTCTGCAAACCAGACCAATACAAACATCCTTCTCTCTTGCAACCAACCCAACCCATGCCATTAATGGCATATATAATAAAATAAAAGAGAAACAAGGTGGAGATGAGGAAATAGATATGAAATTGACCCTTTGCCATTTGAACAGGCTTATCTCTTGCATTCAGATACTGAGAATCTAGACCTCAGGGCGATGGGACTGAAATATGAAGAACTTCAGAACCCATGCTGCACCCTGGATTCTCTCTCTCTCTCTTTAAAGGCAACCATCTAGCAAAGATTGCTGGCATCAGTAGATAGCTCAGCCTCACACAACTCGGTGCCCAGCAAATGTTTGGGCCACAGCTCCCATAAATTCACGGATACCACGGCCAAATTCCATTCCAGCACAGATAAGGAAAAGCTGATGCAGGCAGGAATGTCTTCATTGCCCCAAGAATACAAACATATTTTACCTTTTGTAGCATTTGGACTCTCGGTCTACTGAAGCGGTTTTCTCCCCATGCCTCGAACCATGGCATAAACATGCCCTCGCCACATTTTTTTCCTGCCATGATGTTGCCTTCAACTCATCCCTAGCTCATGAGAGACACAGCCCTAAGTCAGGTGCACCAGTTTAAAGTGGTGTTTTCCCTCTTAAGCTGAGAACATCCAACAGCAGCCTCAAGGTGGGTCCAATCCGTCACCCTTTGCCACCCGTTAATTTGGTGGCAAAGTCAGGTAACCTGCAGTGGGTGAGATCAGTGGTGCTTCCTGGCTAGTCCTGGCCGAGGTAGGCACACGCACACACCGGCCCTCGGTTGGCTTTGTCTCCCTAACAACTTTGATGCAGTAATGCCATGGCACTGAGCTGCTGAGCTGGCAAGGCCTCGAGTGCTTTGATTCTACGGTCCCTGCCAGCTTAGCGCACAGTAGAGGGGAATGCCGGGAGACTAACTTTCCACTCCCCCCAATTACAGCATGGAGGCATCTGGAAGTCAGCCTCCCCTAAAAGAAAGGGAGAGAACCCTAACAAACGTGCTGCTTGTGACTCAGTTTCCCTTTCCGAGTCTGATCTTTGTTTGACTTCATTTTGTCTAACTTGGGTTATGACAGAATGGAGTCTCAGGGGCAGGAAGGGTGCAGGAAGGACGCCCAGAGTGCCCCTTTCCCTGTGATCAGAGCAGTGTTCAACCTTGGCAACTTTAAGGTGGGTGGACTTCAACTCCCAGAATTCCCCAGCCAGCATGG